TTGAAAACTAGAAAATAAAGAGAAAAAGAAAATATTAAACCTTTGCCCTGTATTTTCTAAATGAATTCTAATTTTAAATGAATAAGAAGGAGAAAAAGAAGAAAAAGAAAGAAGCAAGGAAGAAAAGTAGTCTTTTCAGAATTTCAAGTTTAAAAAAGATTAGGGCCATCGGGTAACAAGGTGGTTAAGGTGCTGGAATCTCATATAGCAAACCATGGTTCAAATCCTAGACCAAATGGCTTGAAAATCATGCTGAGTACATGTGACTGTGTACCAAAAACATCAAGAGGAGAATGAAGAAGAAATTACAGTGTGGCCACCCCTCTGGGGGTGATTTCTCTCTTTCTTCTGCCCATCTCTCTCTGTCTCTCTCTGACAGGTACATACAACCTATGACAAAAAACTAACTAAATAAACAAATAAATAAGAATTAGAATAACTTCACTTTGAAACCTTTAGTATAATGATAGATCTAGACAATGATTATCAATGACCTATTAAGCTATTAGGTAGAAAACTGGTAGGAAATTTTATAAAAGGATGGAGGGAACCAACCATGTCGGATGCACTGATAAGCTTTTATTAACATCACATAAAAAATACAAGATGACCATATGTACTTGCTGATAGAAATACTCAATGCCAACTATGAAATTCAGATTAAAAGGAAGAATCAAAAAGAATCAGCAAGCCACTGGTGATAGGTTCAAAAAATGTTATCAATATTCCAATTAACCGAGATTTCTAAATAGATTTCTAGTCCTCTGATGGCATTCATGGCCTCTATAGCAGAAAAGTTGGTTATACTATAATCGACCAGATTTTCATCCTAGACATACAAAAATTGTTCAATAGTTGTAAATTATCAAGTGATTTCAGAAAAAAAGAGAAATGTAGATTTTCTACTGATAATTCAGCCTCCAGTCCCCATTCTCAAGTGGTAGGGAGCCCCTCTATCCTCCTCTCTGTCTCTGTCTCTCTCTGCCTCTCTCTGTCTTCTCATTTTTTGTAATTTTACCTTTTTAAAATTCTTTCAGGTAAAGTATTCTCTTGGCTTTCAGACCTTCTTTTATCTTGCTAATAATCCCCTTCCCCTGTCTGCTCTAGGAGAGGCAAGGAGCAAGCCTTCAGAAGAAGACTCCTCCATTGATGGGACCAGCAGTTGGCATAATGGCTATGTCTCTGGACTGATACGTAGTTGACCACAGTTCGTGTCCTGGACCTGGTGACTTAAACTCACGCCAGGCACGTGTGTATGCATGCCCAAGATCCCAAGAGGAGAATGGAGGAGAAGAGATTGTGGCGTGGCCATCCCCCTGGGGGGTGATTTCTTGCTTTCTATCTCTCTGTCTCTCTTTGTCTTTCTGGCAAGCGCACACACCCTATAGCAAAAACCTCTCAATAAAAAAAAAAAAGAAAGACTCTTCCATTGCTGCTGAGAACTAGTGATTTTATTTTTTGCTTTTTTTTAAACAATAAAATTTTGGGGATTTTTTCTTTTTTTATTCTCTCTTTCTCTCTCCTCTCTCTTTCTCTCTCCTCTCTTTCTCTCTCTCTCTCTCTCTCTCTCTCTCGCTCTGTCTCTCTCTCTCTGTTTTCTTATTCTTTTTTCTTTTACCTCATCACTTCGCTCCTCAATCTCTAGTCACTGAATGACTAGACAGATCTAAGGGAACTATAGCCAAATAATCAAATACTATTAGGGTTAACATGTTCCTCAATACCCCCTGAATCTTCTGCACAAAGGTATAAAAATGGAACAGCCAAGAGATTTCAGATCACCTCCTCTACACAATCCTGAATACTCAGATTACTTCGAGAATTAGGAAGAAATGCACCATCCATCAGATGACTAGGGTGATGACTTCAGGGTCACAAGAAATATGGGAAAGAAAGAAAATACCTCTCCTCCAAGGGAAAAGAATAACTCCTCTTCATCTACAGACAGTTCAATGAGAATCATGGAAATGTTTGATAAAGAATTTAGAATATTCATAGTGACAAAGTTAGCAGAGATGCAAGAGAAGAGAGACAATGAACTCCCGAAGAGGCAGGAGAATAGAGCCGAGGAGTTCCAGGAAGTTAGGAAGTTCTTGCATGATCTGAAAGAGGAAATACACACCATAAATAAGACTCAAACAGAACTGTTAGAGATGAAGGCTGTAATACAGTAAATCAAAACTTCCCTTGAAAGTATTAAAAGCAGAACAGATTATGACAGATCAAATCTCATATGTCGAAAACAGAATCGCTGGCCTAAAAAAATTCACCACAAAGACTGAGAAAATAGTCCAAAAAAATTGAGAATAATATACGAGAAATACTAGATGCTATCAAATGTCCAAACATCCAGGTAATCGGTATCCCAACAAGTGAAGAGACGAATATGTGCATTGATAATCTAGTTCACAAAATCCTTGAAGAAAACTTTTCAAACCTAGAGAGGCATTCGAAAATCCAGACCCAAGAAATACATAGGACCCCAAGTAAAATCAACCCAAGAAGATATTCTCCAAGACACATTATAGCCAGATTGACCAAAACCACAAAGACAAGGTACTCAGACTGGCAAGAGAGAAAAGACAAGTTACCTACAAAGGATATCCCATCAGATCAATAGCAGACCTCTCATCTGGAACAATATGAGCAAGGAAAGAATAGAAAAACATATTCAAAGTTTTTATTGAAAAACAATTTCAACCCAGAATACTATATCCAGCAAGATTATCCTTCATATGGGAAGAGAAGACAAGAACATTCCCAGATTAACAAAACCTGAAAGAATTTATCAACACCAGACCATCTCTCCAAGAAGTTCTGAAGGGAGTGCTATCCCAGGAAAGCTAAAGTCAGACACACAAAAATAAGAGTTCTAAAACAGCTAAGAAAATGGCCCACTTAATGGTAGGGACAAGTCCAGAGTTGAACGTCATCTTCCAGAATGTAAACGAAAAAATCATATCACAACAGAAGATAAAGTACATGAGTTTGAACTGGTGAAATAGAATTGTATGACTTTTGACTAAAACATAACTGACCTTCTATGCTTTGTTTTCCAGTGTTAAGGAGCTGTGTCTTCTCTTGAGTTGTGGACAGATCCATATACCTACTATTCGAGCAGAATCCTAACCTGTTTCCTGGATGTAAACGAAAAAATCATATCACAACAGAAGATAAAGTACATGAGTTTGAACTGGTGAAATAGAATTGTATGACTTTTGACTAAAACATAACTGACCTTCTATGCTTTGTTTTCCAGTGTTAAGGAGCTGTGTCTTCTCTTGAGTTGTGGACAGATCCATATACCTACTATTCGAGCAGAATCCTAACCTGTTTCCTGGATTTAAGTATTAAGCAAAGTTCTCTTAACACTATTTGATTTTGATTTATTAAAGTTAAAACTGCCTTTCTTGAAATTAAAAACTGTACTTAAAAAAATACCTATCTAGTAATCACAGTAAGCTATATAGCCTCAACTATGTGCTATTTTATAGTATATTCATTCTACCCACAGAATTTTCATGCCCAAAGTCAACTTTTGTTCAGAGATATGTATATATCAGCTGAACTTCCTATTGAAAAATTTTTTAATTAATTAAGATATTTTGTGAATCAATACAATGTGGGAAAGAATAAAGGAATGGAAAACAACTGCAAATACCATAGACAGCATGGGAGAAGGATGGAAAATGGCAAAGGGTAAGAAATAGGGGAAAATACACACACACACACACACACACACACACACACACGCACGCACAAGAAATGGGAAATTATTTGAATTATTTGTTAATGATAATATGTATAACTTAGCCATTTTAGTGTATTCTGGCTGGAAAACTGCATTTTGTAGGTTTTGGTGATGTTCAGTGAAAGTATGTAAAATAAAAAATAATAATAATAAAATAGTTGTAAATTATCACTTCACATGACATAGGTAAAACATTTTATAAAATGTAATACCCACTCATGACAGAAAATTTTAGGGAACTAGAAATAGAAGGGTAATCTATTTGATCTGATACAAACTGGTTTCTAAATATCTACTACAAAATTCATGCACATTTATGAAATATTAGAAACATTGCTTATAATTTTAGGAAAAAGACAAAACAATATCTTCTATAATTACTTTCATCCCTTTTCCCCAGAAGTCTCTGTTCATAAAACAAGCCAAGAAATGGAAATAAGAGTTAAGTATTAAAAATGACTTGTTTTTATATATAAATTATATACTTAGACTAAAATGTATAAGAGATAAGAGTATTAGAAGTAAAAGGATAATTTAACAAACTTTCTGAATATACATTTAAAATAAAAATAAATAAATAACAATGCAATAAGCCAGTGCTAACCAATTTAAAAATACAGAAAAACTTTAAGGTACTTTATTATTGTTAAGAAATAAGGTTATTAAAATATGTGGGAGGAATGTAAAAATATCACTGAAAAATATAAAAATTTATAAATAAAAAATTACTATGTTTATAAAAGAGAAAATTAATACCAGTAAAATTCAATATCCTCCAAACTAATTGACATATTAAATAAAGTTACAATTAAAATCCCAACAGAGTTTTTCATGGGTTGACAAAAAGGTTCTAAAATTTATATTACAGAAGAAATATCCAAGAACAGTAAGGACAATTGTAAAGAAAAATGAGAAAATGGCTCCAATATACATTGCCATGTAACAAACCACCCCAAACTGAAGTTGTTTTCAATAATAATGATATTTTGTTCTTAAATCTACAATTTGGGCAGTGCTCAGTGAAGCCTTTTTCTCTTCTCCAAGAGCATCAGCAGGAGAAGTTGGAAGTGTTCCCAAGAACCAGGATCATTCAAGGGCTCATTCCCGCCCCTGGATGGCAGTTGATACTGACTGTTGGACTGTTGGGTGAAGCACATGGTGCCTCCAGGGCACTGTTGGGGTGCGTCGCATCATGGTGTTTGGGCCCTAAAAGTAAGTGTCCCAAGAGCATAAGGAGGCAGCTCTATCACATTTTATAGCCTAGACTTGAAAGTCGCACACATGGCTCCACTGTAGTCTATTAGTTATATTCAGTCTCTAAAACCTTCCCAGAATCAGGGGATAGAGTTAAAACTTCTTGAAGAGATAAATGTCAAAGAATGTAGAGGTAAGTTTTAAAACCACCATAAGTATAGTCCTATAAGATGAGATACTTAAACTATAGCAATTAAGGATAATCCAGGGATCAGTTGAGAAAAAAATGGAATGGGATGTTGTGGGAAACCAAGAAACAGAGTCATTCAGACAGGGACACTAGCTGTGACAGGGTTGACATTATCAATGGATGAAGAAAGGACAGAGATAGATGGGCTGTTATGGATGATATTCTTGTAGGAAGAAAATAAAATTAGATCCTTGCTTTATACCACAAGAAGTAAACTCTAAGCAAAATTAATGTAAGAAGTTAAAAATGAATATCAACTCTTTAATAAAGAAATATAAAAATAATACATTTATAACTCAGGAATATGGAATTATTTCTTATGTAAGATATCCAAACGAAGTAATCCTAAAGTAATGGATTGTGAGTTTTGACAAATTTTCAGTTCTTAAATAACTAGAGAGACCATAAAATTGTGAAAGGCATGCTACAGACTTGGAGAAAAGATTTAACCAACCAGTGGTTAGTATCAAAATATATTGTGTCATCAGAAAAGTAATGACACATTTTTACATAGAAAAACAGAAAAAATACATCACGACTTTTCCAACAACCCAATATAAACAACATTTAGTACTCAATATAGAACCTCAATTTTTCTGTTTAAAAGGGAGATGCCATTGAAGCAACTATAAAATGCCATATGACACCCACAAGATTGACACTTTTTTTAAGTAGCAATACCAAATATTGGAGGGACCACGCATGCATTACTGGTAGGTGCGTACTTTGACAAGGTGATGGTTCCTGGTGAGGTTACCAATGTCTAAGCCACTTCTCTAAGGTATGTGCTCCAGAGAAATGCTCACACATACAGACACACAAGAAGAAATTAACAAACATGTTAATGGGCTATGAGAGCCAAATAAACAAATACATAAATTAATAACACACCTACATATTTATCAGGAGAGAAATAGAAAAATTATGTGATATCCAAATCATGAAAAATTCAACACCTAGAATGAAAGCACTTGATTTATAAGTATGTCGATTTTTAAAAGCAAGTTACAGAAGGATAAGGACTACATAATAAACCACTAATGCATTTTAATACCATATATTATCTATTGCTACATGTGAATGAGGTAAATGTATGAAATTATGGAAGTGAAGGATACTTGCCAAGATACTAGTTTTCTCTAGAGAGGGAGAAGGGAAATCAGGCTGGCATGGGATACAAAGGAGACTTCGATGACATCTGCCATGATTTAATAATAATTATAAAAATAAAAAATCCGAAGTGTAAATGTCAAAATGTTAAATTTTGTTATTTCTAGTTTATGTAATACTACTTTTATGATTAATTCATTTATATTAAACATGCTAAGTGCTTAATAAACTTAGTTATTAGACTCTTGGTAGCAAGTTTAAGAAACATAACTCAGCCAGATTCAACAAAAAAGGAATTTAGCTCACAGAATCCAAAAAGTTTGAAAGAACAAGCCCTGGAGAGAACAGATTCACAGAAGATTAGGGAAACAAACTTGAACCAAGAACTATGAAAGCCCCCAAGATTCTCTCGCTAATGCTGGGGCTATGTCTACCATAATTATACATCTCCTTCTATTGCCGCTACTAGCAGAAATGAATTTTTACATAGTGCTTCATATATCGTCTTAATTTATCAACAATCTAAGTCCTTTATATTTACTAATTGAATCTTCAGAACAAAACTGCATTATGGGTGAAGAAACTGAGGCACAATGGAATGACTTACCCAAATCACCCAGCTGGTGAAGAACAAAACCAGGGATCAAAGCCATGTAAGTGCTATTTACTCCTGATCACTAGAAACTGATTTTCACCACCTTGTAGAAATCTATTGAGTGTTTTTTAATCACTTACTTTTTACTACTGGAGGAAGACAGATGCTCTTTCTTGCCTCTAGTTTAAAACTCTAAGGGAAGGGGGACCAGCAGTTAGTGTAATGGCTATGTCACTGGACTAACATGTTGTCGACCACGGTTCAAGTCCTGGACCTGGTGGCTTAAAACTCACGCCGGGCGCGTGTGCATGTGTGCCCAAGATCCCCAGAAGAGAATGGAGGAGAAGGGATTGTGGTGTGGCCATCCCCCTGGGGGGTGATTTCTCACTTTCTGTCTCTCTGTCTCTGTCTTTTTGGTGAGCGCATGTGCCCTATGGCAAAAACCTCTCAAATAAAATAAAATAAAATAAAACAACTCTAAGGGAATGACTGTGACTGGCTCATCTTGGGTCAGGTGCTCTTACTGGATTGATTGACCATCTGATGCCTGTAGAGGACACAAGGACCTAGATAAGGATGCTGGAACAAGTTTCTATAGAAACTATAAAGTTAGAGCAAGGAATGGAATTACTGGGGAGGAGAGTTGGGGGAGGAAAAAAGTAAAGATGAGGATCTGGGTGACAAATAATAGATGCCCACTACATTTTAACATGGCGTTTAGTACTGTGTTTGTATTTTAATCCTTTTCAACTTTATCTATAATACATACTATGAGTGTGACTTTAATAAATTAAGATTCCATGTGAGTGTTCAGTCAGCATCTGCCTCTCCTCTGACTGGTTCTCCCATGTCCTCTTTCCTCCCCCTGAAAGCAGATTCAGGCACATTGTTGGTGTTTGAATAACAGTGTCTCCTACACAGACTCTGAAGTTCTCTTGGACAGTTAAAAATGTTCTTTGTATGGGGCCAGCAGTTAGTGTAATGGCTATGTCACTGGACTCCCGCGTAGTGGACTGTGGTTCACGTCCCGGACCCGGTGGCTTAAAACTCACACCGGGTGTGTGTGCGTGTGTGCCCAAGATCCCGAGAGGAGAATGGAGGAGAAGGGATTGTGGCGTGACCATCCCCCCTGCGGGGTGATTTCTTGCTTTCTGTCTCTATGTCTCTCTCTGTCTGGCTGGCGAGCGCATGTGCCCTATAGCGAAAAACCCCTTAAAAAAAAATGTTCGTTGTAAACATCTCATCATGAAGAAATAAGGAAAGTTATTTAAATGGTCATGTACACATGTTGTTTCAAATGATTAATTAAATGTTTTCATTTTATTATTTTGGAATCCAGGCAGAGATCAGCAAGACACTGTGTGTGATAGCCACACAGGCTGACATTCAGATGTCAACCCTGACACTAACAGATATTATCTGGAATATGTTTTTTAATCTTTCTTACCTCAGAGGCATCGTGTTTAAAGTGGAGATAAGCAATAGCAGCCTAACAGATCTGGGAGAGGAGTTAGAAGAGAGAGCATCAAAGTGGCTGAGAGCATGGCCAGAAAGGTAAGGTGATCATAGACCTGTGGAAGAACATGTCAGTTACCCACAAGAGTCTCCATGGTCTTTCAGAAATGTATCGTGTAATTGCAGATGTATTTCAATATTGCTCTCTCTCTTTATTCAAGGGGAGGGGTTAAAGCCCTCAGCTGGGTGTTCTGGCAGGCTTGTGGTAAGGATGATTACCCCTGGAAAATTAGCCTTCCCAATGTGTCTTCCCATCACATTCTTACAAAAGGACAAATATTTTTTTCAAACTGTATTTCTGCTGAAGAGCATTCTCTAGCTTGTCTAAGCCTGGAGTCCAAGCCCCAAACTCTAGCCTCAACCAGCACTCAGCCCAAAGGACGTCGATGATGAGCTGTCTTGGACACTAACGTCTTCCTGCCACATCAGAGGGGCATATCAGATAGAAATCCACCTCCTCAGGGAGTATTCAGAAAAATCACAGTATTTCTGGAGTCCTGTATGAATTGTTAAGACACATGGTGGCCAAGAAGAACAGATCCCAGACAAGAAAGGTCTGGGGCTTTATAAACTAGAAAGAAAGATGAGAACGTGAGCAGAATGGTTGGCATGCTTGAAATGGGCATGCAACTTTTATACAATGATTATTTTCCAACCCCAAATTATGACAATTGGTTGAGGTGATAGATATACTAATTATCTTGATTTAGTCCTTACACATTCATTGTATTACACTGTAAAATTACATGGTACCCCATAAATAGGTACAATTTACATATGCCAATTAAGAAAAAAATAATAAAAACCTAACAGAAGTTCCTGATTTGACTTAATCTCCAAATGTAGTTTGGAGCAGTTACTCTGTTATCGAGTGGAAGGCTGATGAGAGTGAAGGAAGACACAATTTAGATGGATCCAAGAGTGCCAGTGAGGACAGAGGGAAATGGTCCAACTTGATCTCAATCTATGTCTTAGCCTCTTCTTGGTCAGAAATGTCACATTGCTCATTTGCTTACATCCAAACCTGAACTTTCAACCCACAGTCTTACAATTAATACGGTCATATTTTCTCAGTGCTGACTGAGATTTATTTTATATTTTATTTTATATAGCCCAATAGGTTTTATTTGGAGAAGAAGGAATTAAGAGGCCACTATGCACTGGGAGAAAAGTCTAAAGCTGCTCTTATACTAGGTGGACTGGACTCAGAATAGGAGTAAGAAGAGTGGAAAGAGGCAGCAAGAAAAGGAACAAAAACAGCAACATCTGTAGGCTGTTCAGTTATCTGCTAAAGAAAATCCCCCCAGTACAGTGTCTAGTTTATAATAACCCTCAGTAAATTTTTGTTGAACAAGCAAGTAAGGAAATGAATTAATATCCAATTGTTATAATCAACATAGCTAATATTTGTGAAGGACTTACCTTGTCATAGCCACTGCACAGAATGATTTACATTCATTGTGTCCTCTTCTATTTTCCTTTTTATACATGATCAGCAAGGTAACTTTCCTAAAATCACACTACTAGTAGGGGATGAAGCCAGGACACAAACCCATCCTTGCATTCATTTTAGCCTCATACTAATGTTATTCTTTCCCAAATCCTTTTTTTTTTTTTTTTTGAGAAGTTTTTGCTATAGGGCACATGTACTTGCCAGGAAGACAGAGACAGAAAGACAGAAAGTGAGAAATCACCCCCCAGGGGAGATGGCCACTCCGCAATCCCTTCTCCTCCATTCTCCTCTCGGGGTCTTGGGCACACACGCACACATGCCCAGCGTGAGTTTAAGCCACCGGGTCCAGGACTCAAACCACAGTCGACTACATGGGAGTCCAGCAACATAGCCATTACACTAACTGCTGGTCCCGTGCTTTCCCAAATTCTAATCCAACAGATATATGTTGCAAACCTATTACATACATGTCATGCTAGACATGGAGAATCAGGCAGGCATGGCCCCCTTCAAGGACTTTAAAGTGGGGGGAAAAAAAGAAGGAAATAGCAATGACACATTACACACATCTATAATAATTACTTCTGCTATTGGTGCCACAAGAACCAGCTACAAGTGGAATCATGATGAATGAGGGGATAGGGGACTGCTTTTGGTAGGGTGGGTGGGAAAGTCATCTTTCAAGATGGAACATTTACTCCAAGACCTGAACATTAAGAAGTTTGTCATTCAAAACACCAGCAGGAAAGGGATTTTTCTATATCCTTATGGGAAAAAAAAAAAGAACACAAAAAAGTAAGCATTTCATGGTCATTTTTGATTTCCCAAGCATTCTTTCATGTATTCTTTTACTTCACCTCATGAAGAGAAGACTTCAGAAATTATTCCACGTCAGAGTCCTTTCCAGATTGTCTCCAGTTGTTTGTTCACATTCCCCAGATCTGTTTTGTTAGTAGGTAGGTTAATAATTGCAGGTCATCAGTAAGCCTGGTGTAAAGGTCAACCAACACTGAGAGGAAAAAAAGTCTCCAAGTAGTTAAGAATCAGTGAGGAGTGATGACTGGAGCCAGGGTAAGGAACATCAGAGAAATGAAATGAAAAGTTTTCCCGACTACCATCCAAAAAAGCAACCAGTTGCTCTTTAGGGAAGCCAAACTTGGCCTGCCTAATGAGCCTTGAAGCTTTGAGCAAACAAATTCAGAGTCCAGAGTGGAGGCAAACAGAGAACAGCAAAGAGGGGATCATTAAGCACACTGATTGGACGTGACCCTCTTTCCATCATGGCGGAGCATAGCAACTCTGCTGAGCCAACACGGAGCAGATGCAGCTGGATGGGCTGGCATGTGCCATTTCCCAGAGGAGACCTGTCCAAACATCCCTTCCTACTCTTTTTCATTTAATTCCTGACTTGATCATCTCTCTCTCTACATTGGTCAAACAGAGAAGCTTCACTAAAAAGATTCAGAGATCACCAATGTTTGCAGTGGAACTCCACGACAAACAGGGCAGTGATTGCTAGCCTATCATGGTGCCCTTTTCTCTGAGCCTGAGGCAGCCTCGGAATCCCTATTGATACAAATCAATAGGCAGTTTCTATTATGTAGTAAGAATTGGAACACAATAAGAAATCCAGATTTTTTTTTGGATTCTAAACCATTTTAGTGCCACCCTCTCTCACCATATAACTGTCTATACGGGCTGATGCATTCAAGATTATCCAATATGGAGGGAGGGAGGAAGGAAGGAAGGGAGGAAGCAAGCAAGGAAGGAAGGAAGGAAGGGGAGAGAGAGAGAGAAAGAAAGAGGAAAGAGAGAAAGAAATAGGAAAGAGAGAGAAAGAAAACCAAAGGAAAAAAAGAAAAGAAAGAATAATGAAGGAAGGAAAAGAAAAAAGAAAGAAAGAAATAAAAAGAGAAGGAAAGAAGAGAAAGAAAGAGAGAGAAAGAAGAAAAGAAAAGAAGTAAGGAAGGAAAAAAGAAAGAAGAAAAGGAAGGAATAAGAGAAGAAAGGAAGGAACAAAGGAAGGAAAAAAGAAAGAAAAAGGAAGGAAGGAAGGAAGGGAGAATAAGGACCAGCCATGGTGGCACAGCAGTAACACAATGTTTCATGATGCTGAAGTCACATGGCAAAGTCCCAGGTTCCTGTTGCAAAGTCCTTCCGTGGGCACATGTGTCTGTAATTCTAGCTAGCTGAGGCTGAGGCTGAGGTGACATAAATATCCTATTGGGGTTACCTGTTTCTTTCTCTCTCATTTGCTCTGTCTCTGGAGAAAAGAAGATAGATGGATGCATGGATGCATGGATGGATGGATGTCAGAAAGGCATAGAGGTAGGATGATTTTTCCAGGATCACATAGTCAGCAGCATCCAAGAAAAAAAGTGAAGTTATCTTTTATTCCAGATGCTGTCTATAGAGCTTACCATCAAAACATGACTTTCGACGCTTCAGTCCAAATCTTTCTTTTTAGAGGTTTTTGCTATAGGGTGCGTGTGCTCGCCAGAAAGACAGAGAGAGACAGAGAGACAGAAAGCGAGAAATCACCTTCCAGGGGGGATGGCCATGCCACAATCCCTTCTCCTCCTCCATTCTCCTCTCAAGATCTTGGGCACACACGCACACGTGCCCGGCATGGGACTCAAACCACGGTTTACTACATGGGAACCCAGCAACATAGCCATATGCTAACTGCTGGTCCCAAGTCCAAATCTTAAATCTAAGTCAACCCGATAGAGGAGTCCATGTTTCTATTGAGCATACACTGTAGGCCAGGATGTCTAATTCATCCTTCACAGCCCAGGAGATACAGCCCATTATTTTCCTAATTCTACAAATGAGAACAAAGGTGCAGGAAGATAAACTCCAGACCCAGAACCCACGAGCATTTTCTACACTGCCCACTACTAAATATTACAGAATGATACACAATATATACAACCTCTGGGAAAGCATTCAGGGAACATTCTGGAGGGTGGAGCATCAGTGATTTATAAAGCATCACACCCAGGTCAGAAATTTCAAGCACAGAAGGACCCCCTCTTTTCCACCCAGGAATCTCATAAATGTAATTCAAGTGCAGGACGTCTTGGGTTGGGTTCTTCTGAGAGCAGACCATGAGACAAGGCTGTGTATTAAGAAGCATATATGGGAGATGATTCCAAGAGACATAAGTAAGGAAGTGAGACCAGGATGAATAAAAGCTAATAAATCATGGCCCATTGTAGGCAGCTAGGGTTCAGTCCCCCAAAGGTCCCCTGAGGAATCAAATAGACTAGACCTCAGAATGGAGCACTTGTAGGTGGGGAGCTTCAAACATCCATCTACTGGCTTCCATCCACTGAAGATTGACTCTCTCCACTTCTATGTGTGCTCACACTTGACCAAGCAGCCTTCATGACCTTCAAAGAAGGTAAAGCAGCCAGCTACCATGTGGGCATTTGATGTGAGACTCCAGAAATGTGCATCGAACTGCACACCACACCTATTCTGAGGCCAGGTGGGCTGAGGGAACATAGGGCAAGGAGTCATAGGTATAGGTTGTAGTGACACATTCCCATCAGTGTGGT